TCTCTCCTGCCCGGGCTGGCTTTGAACCGCGATCCTCAGATCTCAGCCTCCTGAGTAGCTAGGATTACAGGCGTGAGCCACCAGCGCCCGGCCTGAACTGTTTCTCACACTAGGCTCACGCCCTGAACTGTTTCTCACACTATCAGATAAATGATTTACCAACTGAGGCTCTCTGTTATTGTTATTATGTTATTATTGTTGTTGTCAGTCGTGGGGCTTGAACTTGGGTCCTGGGCCCTGTTTCTGAGCTCTTTTTATTTTTTTTTGGGGGGGTCCGGTCATGGGGCCTGAACTCTGGGCCTGGGCGCTGTCCCTCAGCTCAAGGCTCAAGGCTAGCGCTCTACCACTTGAACCACAGTGCCACTTCCAGCTCTTTTCTTTTTGCTTATGTGGTGCTGAGGAATCAAACCCAGGGCCTCAGACATGCAAGGCAAGCGCTCTACCACTGAGCCACCTTCCCAGCCCATTTCTGGGCTCTTTTGCTCAAGGTTAGCACTCTACAGTTTTGAGCTACAGCTCCACTTCTGGTTATCTGGTGATTAATTGGAGATAAGAATCTCACTGTGAACGTCCAAGCTGGATTTGAACCATGAACCATGATCCTTAGATCTCAGCCTCCTGAGAAGCTAGAATTACAGATGTGAACCACCAGTCCACAGCTCTGTCATTCTTTTTTTTTTTTGCCAGTCCTTGGGCTTGAACTCAGAGCCTAGGCACTGTCCCTGAGCTTCTTTTGCTTAAGGCTAGCACTTGAGCCACATCACCATTTCTGGCTTTTTCTGTATGTGGTACTGAAGAATTGAACCCAGGGCTTCATGAATGCTTATCAAGCACTATACTACTAAGCCACATCCCAGCCCCTGTTATTCTTTTTATAATCCTTGTCTTCCATATTTCTCTGGGAATCAATATTATTACTGTCTGGAGAACTGTCTAATTCTAGTTCTAGAAACCTGGTTGCAACTGTTACAAGGGAGGCATGGAGAGAGGAGGGATGAAGGGAGGGAGAGAGATTGGTTTTATTTCAGCTCATAGGTTTTTTTTTGGCTCATGGCTAGTTCAGAATGGTGGGGGATGGATAATCCCCTTCAAGAGCATATATCAGTGACCTAAAGATCTGCAAGATACCACCTCCTACAGGCCTGGGGAACAGGAATTTTTAATATATGAACTCTTGGGCACCACGGTAGATTTTAGTAGGTCCTTCTGCATGCCATAAACTCAGTGTCAAACCACTGCATACACACACAAGACAATGTCTTTACTTCAGCTAATCTGGTACTTCTTTTCTTTTAGTGACCGTGTTTTTAAATATCCAATTCATGTTGTCAGAAATAAAAAGCAGCATTCGCCAGTGACAGGTATGGTTTTTAAATGTTTCATCTTTGTTTTCCAAGAACAGATGACTGATACAATTAAAAATGTACAGTGGCTGGGTGCCAGTGGCTCATACCTATAATCCTAGCTACTCAGGAGGCTGAGATCTGGAGATTATGGTTCAAGGCCAGTAGGGCAGGAAAGTCCATGAGATCCTTACCTCCAATAAACTGCCAAACAAGGTGGAAATAGAGCTGTGGCTCAAGTGGTAGAGCATTAGCCTTGAGCAAAAGAAATTCAGGGACAGTACCCGGGCCCTGAGTTCCACACCCAGGACTAGCCCACACACATGAAAAAAAATGGACATTGGTATATCATCCTGTAAAGTGTAAGTCATATTTAATTCTCATTTTGGTGTAAATGCTTCACTCACCTTTCACTGATAACCAGAATTTTTTTTGTTTATCCACTAGGATGATTGAATGTATAATAATGAATTAAAACTCATGAAAGTACTGAGATTTCAGAAATCTTGTGAATGTCAAGGGCCTTTTTATTAATCAAAAGTCGCATTTTACAATTTTTTCAGATCCATTTACATTATGCTCAGACATAATAAATAAAGAAGTTCTCAGTTTTCAAGCAGCTGACAGTTGTACCAAAATATTGAAGTATAGGTGCTCAGGTAAATATTTTTATTACAATTATTTCATAATTAAAATTTTAAGGGCTGGGGGTGTGGCTCAAGGAGTGCCTGCCTAACAAGCATCGGGCCCTTAGCTCAAACTCTAGGACCATCAAAGAGACAAACATAATAATGAAAGCTGTTCATATTAGTTAACTAGATTTTATAATAGGTCTACTTTTATAAAGTAAGTTTCATTTCCTTTGAAGAAATTAGAATGTAGAGCATGAAATCCTTCAAATTAATATTCCTTTTCTGTACCCGTCTGAGATCCAGTGTTTGTTTATACTCACCACTTCAAATTTTTACTCTTGTCTTTTGTCACAACTCATTGTCTACAAATTTAATTTTATTGAGATAAACATTTTATGTGTTGCAGAGAAAAGAGACAGGTATATATTCTGGATTATGCTCTAAATATTATAGATATTATATAATACCTATTTTATATTTATATTGACATATTAATGTTCTAGTGTCCTGTTACCTATTTTTTCTGTAATAATTCCAGTAATTATTCCATAGTTTCTGTTCCTTCACACCTTAGTATTTCCTCTTTGTTCATGCTTACTACTGCACTCTGCTCTATGGAAAAAATTCAGGTATTCTACGTTTAGTTCAAATGTCATTTTTTTTATATTGGATGAAGAGATTTCTTCTATTCTAAAGTTAATGTCAAGTCATAATCTGAATCATATCTTGTCTTTCAATTTAATAATTACAAAAGCTTATTTTTATCTACTAATTCCTTTTGTTTCAACTTAAACTGTGTTCATATTTCCTCATTAAAAAATGAATGATTGGGACTGGATGTATGGCTCCAACAGTGGAGTGCTCATTGGACTTAATTGTAAAAGCCAAGTGACAACCTGAGGCCCTAAGTTCAAGTCCCATACTGGGAAAAACTGCTTCATGATTTGCTATTGAATCAAGGATTCTTACACTCTCTTTCTACCTTTTACTACCAGATTCCTGTCTTGTTCCTTCTTTTTCAATGCATTCATTCCCTTCTTAACTCCTGGAAACCTGGTGCTTTTTTCCCTAAATTTTTAATATTAAAGGATACTTGAAGCTTCTTTTTTGGTGCTGTGGCTCAAGTGGTAGAGTGCTAGTCTTGATCACAAAGAGGCTCAGGAATAGTGCCCAGGTCCTGCATTCACAACCGACAGAGGGGAGGGGGGAGAGAAAGGAAGAGAGGGAGAGAAAGGAAGGGAGGAAGGGAGGGAGGGAAAGAGGGAGGGAAGAAGGAAGGAAGGAAAAAAGAAAGAAAGATAGATCCAGTCAGGTGTGGTGGTATATGCCTGTAGTCTACCTTTGTGGGAATAAAGTTAGGATCAGGAGTTCCAGACCAGCCACAGAGCCTAACGGGCCACATGCATTTGAGCCGACTTAGGCTACAGTAGGAGATCCTGTCTAAACAAAATAAAACAAGCTGGGTTCTGGTGGTTCATATTTGTAATCCTAGCTTAGGATACTGAGATCTGAGGATTGCAGTTTTAAGCCAGGTTGGGCAGGAAAGTCTGTGAGACTCTTATCTCCAATTAACTACCAAAAAGCTAGAAGTAAAGCTGTGGCTCAAATGGTTAGAGTGCTAGCCTTGATGGAAAAAAAAGAAAGAAAGAAAAAAAAAAAGCTCAGGGACAGTGCTCAAGACCATCATCAATATATCAACACTGTGTGTGTGTCTCAAACAATCAAAAAAGAGAGAGAGAAAGAGAACAGAATGAGGGAGAGAAGACAGACATTATTTGCCTCTTAATACAATATAGTGAGAAGCACACAATGCTATCTACCTATGGGGAATCCTGCAGAAAAATCATTAGGCTTGAATATGATATATCATCTAGATATGATTACCACCAAAAAGCCAGAAGTGGAGCTGTGGCTCAAGTGATTTAGTGCTAGCTCAGGGACAGTGCCCAGACCCTGAGTTCAAGCCCCATGACCAACAAACAAAACAAGAACTGAACTTACATATAGATCATTTCTTTTCAATATTTTCCCTTAATAGAACTAGACCAACTTTACCTCTTTTTCTTTTTTCTAGTGGTACTGAGGTTAAACTCAATGCCCCTATGTTTACTAGTTAAATGCTCTACCACTGAGCTATACCCTCGAGCTCTCTTTCCTTTTCCCTTTCCTTTTGTTGTGTTGGGGATTGAACCCAGGAACTTTTTCTTTTTTTTCCCAGTCGTTGGGCCTGAACTCTGAGCCTGGGCACTGTCCCTCAGCTCTTCAGCTCAAGGCTAGCGCTCTACCACTTGAGCCACAGCGCCACTTCCGGCTTTCTGGTGGTTTATTGGAGATAGGAGTTTCATGGTCTCTCCTGCCCGGGCTGGCTTTGAACCGCGATCCTCAGATCTCAGCCTCCTGAGTAGCTAGGATTACAGGCGTGAGCCACCAGCGCCCGGCCTGAACTGTTTCTCACACTAGGCTCACGCCCTGAACTGTTTCTCACACTATCAGATAAATGATTTACCAACTGAGGCTCTCTGTTATTGTTATTATGTTATTATTGTTGTTGTCAGTCGTGGGGCTTGAACTTGGGTCCTGGGCCCTGTTTCTGAGCTCTTTTTATTTTTTTTTGGGGGGGTCCGGTCATGGGGCCTGAACTCTGGGCCTGGGCGCTGTCCCTCAGCTCAAGGCTCAAGGCTAGCGCTCTACCACTTGAGCCACAGCGCCACTTCCGGCTTTTTTCTTTTTGCTTATGTGGTGCTGAGGAATCGAACCCAGGGCCTCGAGCATGCAAGGCAAGTGCTCTACCACTGAGCCACCTTTCAGCCCTGAACCCAGGAACTTTCAATGTGTTAGGAAAACACATTGGAATATACTTCATACCTTTTTAATTTTTTTTTTTTGATCCGGTTGTGGGGCCTGAACTCTGGGCCTGGGTGCCGTCCCTCAGCTCTTCAGCTCAAGGATAGCGCTCTACCACTTGAGCCACAGCGCCACTTCCAGCTTTTTTCTTTATGTGGTGCTGAGGAATTGAACCCAAGGCCTCATTGCATGCAAGGCAAGCGCTCTACCACTGAGCTACCTTCCCAGCCCCCTTTTTAATTTTTTAAAATGTATTTAGGGCTGGGATGTAGCTCAGTGGCAAAGCACTTGCCTATCAAGTGCAATGTCCTGGGTTCAATCCTCAGTACTAAAGAAGAAAAGACAAAAACAATAGTTAAATCCAAAAATAATTTATTATGAAAGAGTGAATGTGTGCATGTGTGTAGGCATGCCAGTACTGAAGCTTGAACTCAAGGCCTTGCCTTCTTGCTTGCTTTTTCTCTCAAAGCTGGCATTCTACCATTTGAGCCACATCTGTACTTCTGGCTTTTTGCTAGTTAATTGGAGATGAATATCTCATAGACTTTTCTGCCTAAACTGTCTTCAAACCAGGATCCTCAGATCTTAGCTTTCTGAGTCATTAGGATTTTATGTATGCACCAATAGCACCTGCCTTTTAAAAAATAAATTACTTTATTGTAAAGATGCTGTACAGAAAGGTTACAGTTACATGAGTAAGGTAATGAGTACATTTCTTGTCAAACATTGTTACCCCTCCTTTGTTTTTTTCCTACTATCCCTTCCCTCTGTCACCTTCCCCCTTCTCTTTCCCGCAAGTTTTAAAGTTCATTGCCAACATAGTTTCTCTTGAGGATCATTGTTGCAATGGGTCATTCTGTGTCCTTGTCTCATTTGTATCCTAGACTTCCTGACTCCCTTGTGCTTGGATTACAGATGTGTACCACCAAACTCAGCTAATTTTATTTTTGAGATGATGTTTGGCTAAATTGCCCAGGCTGACCTTGCATTTACTATCCTACTGCTGCAGCTGCCTGGGTAGCTGAGATTACAGACGTGTACCACCAAACCTGGTTTGGTTGCTCTTTTTCTATATTGCTATAACTGTTCATACTTCTATCCCAACACTTATTTCACTGATATGCATGTATGTTTTTATTTTGTCATTTTTTGGATTTTTTAAGATTTTTTATTAGCATACATAGATTTCTTAAAGTATTTATAAGTTTCTGATTTTACTTAAGTTACCATCATATAGATAACTGCTTTCATAGATTTATAAGTGCATTATTGACATCTATACATCACATTATTTTGTTTTCTTTTAGGTTGCATATCAGTAGGAAACCCTCTAAATAGCCGAAATTTTAGCAAGCTCTTGCGTGCTTGTCCATACCAATGTGATCGACACAAAGTCATTGTGGAAGCTGAAGACAGATATAAAAGTGAACTAAGGAAATCATTTATCTGTAACAAAAGTAATTAATTCCATAGCTTTAAGACTGTAATTACAATTATGCCTTCTAAGCCATCATTAAGATATTAAGTAAATTTAAAAATTTAAGGATAAAATAATGTTGAAAAGAAAACATTTTGCTGGGCATCAGTGGCTCACGCCTGTAATCCTAGCCACTTAGGAGCCTGCAGTCTGAGGATTATGGTTCAAAGCCAGCCCAGGCAGGAAAGTCCATGAGACTCTTAACCTCCTATAAACCACTTAGAAAACTGGAAGTGGCATTGTGGCTCAAGTGATAGAGTGCTAGGCTTGAGCTAAAGAGCTGAGAGACAGTGCCCAGGCCCAGAGTTCAAGCCCCATGACCATAAAGAAAAAAAGAAAGAAAGAAAAGAAAACACTTCTTAGCAACCGGTAATTTATGATGTACCTGGGAGAAGATTAGAAGATTTAGTTTCTGATGGCTTAAAATTTCTTCCCAATCTAATTATTCCTACTAGAAGGGTTGGGGAGAGGAAATAACCATACTAAAAGAATTCATATACTTATGAGTTCTTCAGATTGGTACTCTAATTCTGCTAAATGTATTCCATATTTTTCAGAAATTCTGCTGACCCCATGTAGAAGACAACAACTCAGTAGCAAATCTGCTATCCCTGGAGAAATAAATGAACATATTTAATTTTTAAGTCAGCTTAAATATCACAGACTTCTAAAAAAGATGTACTTGTTTTTAGTTCTCACCATCTTTCTGTGATAACCCTTGGCTCTGATGAAGATTATATTTCCTAAGAAAAGAGACATCTCCCATTTGTTTGTTCATTTGCTGTCTGCCATCTGGAAAGCAGCAGGAGGAAAACAACCTTTATTAAGTACCTACTATGTGTTAGGTGTCTTATAAATGTTGTTGCCTCTAATTCTTATAAGTTAGAAATAGCATAACTTAGATTCATTACAAGCTTTTTCTAGAAACCCTCATTCTATTGTCTGATCAATTCATATTTTCAGAACAAATTTTCCATGTACAAGTACTCCAGAGAGACTTTTGATCATAACTCCAATGTGTCAGACAATCAAAATTGAAGCAAAAAAGTGCTTCTGAAATAACTTATTGAAATTTTAATTTAACTGTAGGGTTAAGACTTCAGGCTTATCAACATTCCAGATTTATCAGAGAGTTTGAGAACCTTAACATTTTCTTCTAATCATCTGAAGTTAATACTAACTACAGGAGTAGGAATAAACAATTGAGTACATTACTTGTCAGAGTCATCAGAAATGAGTAACATCAAATGGGAGAAAATGAAGGAGGAGGTAACATTTAGAAAACAAATGTACTCATTACCTTACTTATGTAACTATAACCCCTCTGTACATCACCTTTACAATAAAAATAAGAAATGAATACCATCAGTAGAGCTACTCTGATATTTATCACAGAGCTATTTGAACTGAATTCATCCAGGAAACATTTTGCTTCACATGACACTTCTATGGCTATTTTCACTGCCAAAACCTTGAAAGGAACTTCAGACTTAAGTCTTTTTTCTAGGTTAAAAATTCTATCTATAAAGTAAGTACAGTATCACTGTGGAAGAGGTTGTTATTTTTAAGGTGGTATTGGGGTTCGAACTCAATACCTTGTACTTTCTCAACAGGCACTCTACCACCTGAGCCATACTTCTAGCTCTGTCAGTTTTTTGGTGGTAATGGGGGTCAGTTGTGGAGCTTGAACTCTGCGCCTGGGTACTGTCCCTCATCTCTTCAGGTCAAGGATAGCACTCTACCAACTTGAGCCACAACACCACTTCCTGTTTTCTGGTAGTTAACTGTACATAAGAGTCTCATCCACTCCTGGGCTGGTTTTATTTATTTATTTTTTTTGTCGGTCGTGGGGCTTGAACTCTGGGCCTGGGCGTTGTCCCTCAGCTGTTCAACTCAAGGCGAGCGCTCTACCACTTGAGCTACGGCGCCACTCCTGGGCTGGTTTTAAACCATGATCCTCAGATTTCAGCCTCCTGAGTAGCTAGGCTTACAGGTGTGAGCCACCAGTACCTAGCTAAACCCTGCTCTTCTTTTGCTGGTTATTTTGGACACAGAATCTCATCTTTTTCTGCTTAGACTGGCTTTTAACCACAATCCTCAAGCTCCTAGCCTCTTGAGTGAGTGGTTAGGATTACAGGCAAGAGCCTGTTTTTGTTTTTGTTTTTTTTAATTTGCCAAGCTCAGAGACACAAATGGTACATGTTTCATATGCAAAAACTAGATCTAAAATACACTAGGATATGATAAATTATGCAAGACTATAGGCATTCACACAGTTAGACCAGAGAAGGATACTTTTAGGAGAGAGACACAAAGGCACAATACCTGTGTGCTTCTAATCATATAATAATTATTGAAGTGAACTGCAGGAAATGGAAACAAGATTTTTTTTCTGTAGAAACCCTAGGTATTTTGTTCCACAGAGATATGTTGTACTTAGAAATTGGTTTCTTGCTACTCAGGAGGCTGAGATCTGAGGATCACGGTTCAAAGCCAGCCCAGGCAGGAAAGTCTGTGAGACTCTTACTCCAATAAACCACCAGAAAACCAGAAGTGGTGCTATGGCTCAAGTGGTAGAGTGCTAGCCTTGAGCTGAAGAGCTGAAGGACAGCATCAAGCCTGTGTTCAAGCCCCATGACTGATAGAAAGAAAGAAAAAAGAAAAAGAAAGAAAGAAGAAAGAAAAGAGGTTGTGTTCTTCACAGGACTTGACACCAAATTACAGAAATTTTCAACATGGGCTGGGAAGGTGGCTCAGTGGTAGAGCGCTTGCCTTGCATGCATGAGGCCCTGGGTTCAATTCCTCAGCACCACATAAGCAGAAAAAAAAAGCTGGAAGTGGCACTGTGGCTCAAGTGGTAGAGCACTAGCCTTGAGCTGAAGAGCTGAGGGACAGCGCCCAGGCCCAGAGTTCAGACCCCACCAGACCAAAAAAACAACAACAAAAGAAAAAAAAAAGAAATTTTCAACATGTCTTCAAAACAAAGATGTAGCAACTAAAAATATTCTATAATCCCTTTACTTAGATAAAACCATCTCTAGAACCTCACGAATGGGCATAATTTTGTTATGCATTAATTATACAGTGATCCTAAATACTGTTAACTGATATTTAGCTCATAAATAACCATCCACTAATAATTGGACCTGCTTTTTTAGAATTTATGAGGCATCCTGAGAAAGTATTACTTTGGTTTGTCTTATTATATTTCAAAGCAAGACAGTTTGGCATTTTGCCTTCTCATTTCCTCATTTGGGTAAATTTCCCCCCTTTTTAAATTTTTTTTAAATTTCCCCTTTTTATCAGGACATTTCACTACTCTTCATTAAAGTATAGTTTGCACTGAAATTTACCCCTATTATTTTTTAGGACAGACCACTATACTGTGGAAGCATTAAAACATTTTCCCAAGGCTTTCTTTAAGGATGATTCGTTATCTTGAGAGGGTCTGAAAAGTAAGAGTATCAGGAAGTAAGCCCTCTTGCCAGTTTTTTCTTGCTCCCCTAACACATAGTCAATATTATAAGGAATACTAATGAAGCTGGAGAGGGGCGTCTTGAAGTACAGAGCCGTTTGCTTCCACCTGGCTGCCTAGTTATTCACTATAGAAACCTTTGAGAGTTTACTAGGAGTCAGGGAGGTGGCAGCCTCAATAGAAAAGGGTCCTCTTTTATCCCAAAAGTTATCACTTAGGGTTGGAAAGGTGGCTCAGTGGTAGAGTACTTGCTTTGCATGTATGAGGCCCTGGGTTTGATTCCTTAGCACCATATAAGCGGAAAAAGCCAGAAGTGGCTCTGTGGCTCAAGTGGTAGAGTGCTCACCTTCAGCTGAAGAGCTCAGGGACAGTGCGTGGGCCCAGAGTTCAGGCCCCACAACTGACAAAAAAAAAAAAGTATCACTTAATAGCCTGGATTATAAGGAGTTAAAATCATTTAGCAAGAGAAGCTAAAAACTATTTCTTGGATAAGTAAAATGTGAATATTCCTCTATGTAATCTCTCCAAAGGAGGGAATAATTTCTTTGATAAATTTTGAGATAGTTTTATTAATAGTTTTTTTCTCTTAGTATTTAATGATCATCTACTATGTCTCAAATACTATTCTAGCCATTTGGGATGCAGTGGTGAACAGACTTGTACAAAAGTTCCTGCTCTCATGAAGCCTGCATTGTAACTAATGCAATTAATAATAAGACATTAGTTACACTGCTTTCTTAGCCTGGTAAGTTCAGCTGAGAAGATTTTCTAAGGATGATCCTTAGAAAAGAGTAGCCTCATCTACCTACAATGATTACATGAGTAAACAATGAATAAAAAGCTTAAAAATATCTCCTCCAAAAGAGAAACCTATTTTTCTAGTAAAGATGAGAGGAAAAGAATTATTTACCATCCATGTATTCTTTGTACACTAGAAATTGTCCCTTAAAAGCAGGTAATAAAAAACTTCATTAAGCCGGGCGCCAGTGGCTCACACCTGTAATCCTGGCTACTCAGGAAGCTGAGATCTGAGGATCACAGTTCAAAGCCAGTGGGGGCAGGAAAGTCCATGAGACTCTTATCTCCAGTAAACTACTAGAAAACTGGAAGTGGCGCTGTGGCTCAAGCCGTAGAGCGCCCCTCTTGAGCTGAAGAGCACAAGGACAGCGCCTAAGCCCAGACTCAAGCCCCATGACAAAACAAAAAACAAAAAAAACTTCATTAACCATCATACAACCATTTTTTTTAGTTTTGATCAAGCTGAACACCCATATAGGAAATGAATGTGTTTTTAAAAGCAAATTTCAAAAGATCCTTGTTCTTAAAAATGTTAACCAAGCCTATATTTAAAGTACCAAGTATTGGTATTCTTTTTCTGTCAAGTATGGAGCCCTTTGGGAAGACTGTATCTTTAAGATAGTTAAGCTGTTTGTTAATCATCCCCACAGGAACATTACATTTATAAACTTGTTTCTTGATTTAAAGATGTTCAGGTATAATAGATTAAATTACACCTTAAACAACAACAAAAAAAATCCGTCATTGGGCTTGAACCCAAGGCCTGAGTGCTGTCCCTGAGCAGCTGTTTACTCAAAGCTAGCACTCTACCACTTTGGGCCATCTTTCCACTTCTGGGTTTTGAGTGGTTAATTGGAAATGAGTCTCATGGGGACTTTTCTGCCTGAGCTGGCTTTAAGCCATGATCCTCAGATCTCAGCCTCCTGAGTGAGCCATTGGTGCCCGGCTATAAATTACAACTATTGAATAAGCCATAGCAGTAGCACCTAACTTACTAGTAAGTACTCAGGTTTATTTTTCATTGAAATAGATTTGACAATAATATATGTACTAGACACAAAAATTTCTCTAGTTTCTATGTGTAGAATAAATTTTGTATTTAGGCCTCAAAAAGACTTTTCAACAAATACTAATGCATTGTATAATTCTCTCGTTAATTACAGAAAAAAGAAGAATTCGTAAGAACTTTACTGAAGAAGAAGTAAATTACCTTTTCCATGGAGTTAAGAAAATGGGAAATCATTGGAATTCAATTTTGTGGTCTTTCCCCTTTCAGAAGGGACGGACAGCTGTGGATCTTGCTCACAAATACCACAACCTGATCAAACACATCAAGTGTATAGCCAAGACTTGATTTTTAGTTTGAACTATAAATACAGAACCTTAAAAGATAGAAAATATTCTTCTAAGCCCTCACGTGACAAGAAGTCTTAGAAATAGGGTTTTTGTTATTATTGTTTTGGTTTTTGCTTTTCTTTTGAGACAGTCTCTCACCTCAGTAACTCAGGCTGGCCCAGAACTCACTACAAAACTCAGGCTGGCCTCTACCACATGATCTCAGGCTTTCAGAGATAGATTTTTTGTTTTTTGCTGTTGTTGTTTTTGCCAGTCCTGGGGCTTGAACTCAGGGCTGGTTTGGCTCAAGGCTAGCATTCTGCCACTTGAGCCACAGCTCCACTTCTGGCTTTTTCTGCTTATGTGGTACTGAAGAATTGAACCTAGGGTTTCATGAATGCTAGGCAAGCATTCTACCACTAAACCACCTTCCAAGCCCAGAGATAGTCTTAAACAATTTTTGTGGTACTGCAACTCTCCAAATTATTACAATAACTTATTTTAACAGTATTTTTTTGTTGTTGCCAGTCCTGGCTTGAACTCAGGACCTGAGCACTGCCCCTGACCTGTTTTGCATAAGCCTAGTGCTCTGCCACTTGAGCCATAGCTCCACTTCTAGTTATTTTAGTAGTAAATTGGACATGAAAGTCTCGTGGACTTTCCTGCCCAGGCTGGCTTTGAACTGTGGTTCTCATATTTCAATCTCTTGAATAGCTAGCAGCAAATATTTTTATGTACAAGTTATATAAAATTTCTCTATAAGGTAAATATTTAGGAATATTCTATTATTCTTAGGTTTAAAGAGCTTAGAACTTAAGAAAAAAGATAGGAGCCTTCAAACATTTCTCACCATAATCCAATGAATAGTATGTAAGACATTTAGATTTTAATACTTTTGACCAATTTCAAAGTTCTCAACACAACTCAGAAAGGTATTCTACCATTTCCCAAGCTGTTGAAGTTCTGGCCCACTAAATGTTTGACATTTTATTAATTAAATGTTTCTTCTAAAAGCTAACTCTGAATTTGCTTCGAATATTTCCCTATTCTGTAGTCAAGATTCACTTTTTTTGTTTGTTTCTTTCCTTTACCTCTGTGAAAGTTTCCATCATTTCCACTTCCTGTTCCTCTTCATCCTTTATCCTTCATGTGAATGGCCCTAGCTTCTTTATGTTTCTTTTTTTTTTGTCCGTCCATGGGGCTTGAACTCTGGGCTTGGGCGCTATCCCTGCACTCTTCAGCTCAAGACTAGCACTCTAGCGCTTGAGCACAGCGACACTTCCGGTTTTCTAGTGGTTTATTGGAGATCAGAGTCTCACGGACTTTCCTGCCTGGGCTGGCTTTGAACCGTGATCCTCAGATCTCAGCCTCCTGAGTAGCTAGGATTACAGGCGTGAGCCACCGGCGCCCGGCTCGCTTGTTTACGTTTCGACAGAATAGTGTAATGTCCTCTTATGAGCATAATCACTGACCACTGGACATATCCTGTCTGTCTTTAAAATGTGTCCACACTACCCTTCCCTCCGCCCCCCATTCCTTGAGCTGGCCCTGGTGGGGGTCAGCTTCTCTGCCAGGCCCAGGCAGGGTTTTTGGACACAATCACGACAGTTCTTGTTGTTGTACGTGGTCATCTTTCAGGTTGCAGTTATCATAATTAAAACTCTGCAAGGTTCTCCTGCAGC